GGGGACCTGCCCATCCAGTCAGGTACGGGCACCGGCCGGGACCGGGGAAGGGTCACAAGGTGCCGGTGGGCCAGCCGGGGGCCTGGCGGAGCCCAGCTCCGTCCGTCCGTCCGTCCGTCCGGGAAGGCAGGGCAAGTGTCAAGTCTCTTCGCTGCCTGGGAGGGAGGAGAGCCCGGAGCCTTGAACTTCGCGCTTCCCTGAGCCGGCTTCCGCGAGACCGCCCCATTCGTTTTGTCTCCTCTGCTTTCCCAAAGGACAGCAGGACCCCTATTTCTCTCTGTCCCCATCACCAGCAGGCCAGCAGTTGTGATAACCGATTTTAACCAATTGGTGTGTTTTGGGTTTTTTTTTTCTCTCTCTCTCCGGTTAATTTGTTTTTATAGTTTTGTTTCGTGTACGCTTACTTGTACTGTATTTACTGTACAGTTTTGTTCCCGGTATTAAAACTTGAATATCAGTGTTGATCATTAAAAAAAAAAAAAAAAAAAAAAAAGGCTTTCCATTCTGTGGCAAGGCCCCTCTGCACATCAAATGGTATGTATAGTCGTGCAAAGTGCCAGGAAAATACCACGGTGACCTACCTAGTCTGTGGTTAACATCTGAAAGATTCGTGGTTTAAAATGCAGAACACAGGAGGGGTTTTTGTTGTTGTTGTTTGGGTGTTTTTGTTTTTGTTTTTTGAGACAGGGTTTCTCTGTTAGCTTTGGAGCCTGTCCTGGAACTCAGCCACGAACCCAAAAGAGATCCACCTGCCTTTACCTCCCAAGCGCTGGTAATGAAAAGGCCTGAGCCACCACTGCCCAGCTTGTTTTTCAACTTATCTTTTCACATAAGGGTTTTTGTCTCCCAGGTTGAGATGCAACTTGAAGCATTTTTTTTTTTTTCCTCTTTTCCTTTCTGAAGACACCGTGAACTAAAAAACAAACAAGTGTTTCTGGTCTCTTGTTTACAAAGTCGAGTTCTCCTTGGTAACCCTGTTTTAACTCATGTGGCTCATAATTTACCTACGGAGTTGGCTAATAAACACCCAGTCTATAATTTCTCTGCAGTTCTGGATTTCTTTTATTTTTAACAGGTGACATGCTGATTGTTGAAGAAGACCAAACCAGACCAAAAGCTTCACCTGCATTTTCAAAATATGGTGCTCCTAGTTATGTCAGGGAAACTTTGCCTGTGCTTACCAGAACCGCAGTCCCGGCAGACAACTCCTGCCTCTTTACCAGTGTGTACTATGTCGTTGAAGGAGGAGTCTTGAATCCAGCCTGTGCCCCTGACATGAGACGTCTCATAGCACAGATTGTAGCAAGTGACCCAGACTTCTATAGTGAGGCAATACTGGGGAAAACAAATGAAGAGTACTGTGAATGGATCAAAAGGGATGATACTTGGGGAGGAGCAATTGAGATATCAATTTTGTCTAAATTCTATCAATGTGAAATATGTGTGGTAGATACCCAGACAGTTAGAATTGACCGTTTTGGGGAAGATGCAGGATATACCAAAAGGGTTCTGCTCATCTACGACGGTATCCACTATGATCCTCTTCAGCGGAACTTCTCTGATCCAGATACTCCTCCTCTGACCATTTTCTCCTCAAATGATGATATTGTTCTTGTACAAGCACTGGAGTTAGCGGAAGAAGCTAAAAGAAAGAGACAGTTTACTGATGTAAACCGCTTCACCCTAAGATGCATGGTGTGTCAGAAGGGGTTAACTGGACAAGCGGAAGCAAGGGAACATGCCAAGGAGACAGGCCACACCAACTTTGGAGAGGTGTGATCTGTTCGTAAGAGTTGGAGCCTACTACCTCACAGATCCAGAAGGCTCTGGGTTTCCCAATAAGCTATTCATAACCCTACAGAATAGAAGAACACAATGCTTGGACCATCCTTTTAACTTAAACCAGTATGACTGACCCTGAAATTCCTTGTTAAGATTAAAATTAGTGTGCAAGTTTACAGGTGTGTGTCTACGCTAGTGGCATGCCCTCTTTCTACTAGGGTGACGGAATAGGTGGCTTGGGTCACTTCTGATGCTAACCTGAAGACTGGATTCTATTATAAACCAGCACCCATCGGCTCTTTAACTTACAGAAGAAAACATCATATTTTAGGTAATGAGGAAAGCCTTGCAGAGGTTCACTGGACATATACTTCGGTGTCTCCAGTAGTTGATTCCTTTTAATAACTTTGAATGAGTTAGTAGTTTCTAAATTCTGAATTGATTCATCAGATGAAGATACTCAGAATTGTCAAAACTTTTTATATTGCAATTTGGTAGACTTTATAAGTGTATCTAACAACTTCTAAATGCATAAAAAGCAATTTTACAGGGATGTGTGTATTCCTTGAGAATGTTATCCAAAACAGGAATGGGGTCCTGTTGGAGATTTTCTAGTGTATAAAGTAGAATGTATAAGGGGGAAAGGTGCCTGAAGCAGCTTACTGAAGCTTTAAAAGACTGTTGGCCTCATGTTTTAATGCAATTCATGTGTTGGTATTTGTCACATTAGATTTTTTTTAATGAAGCAGGGTATGCCTTCTTAATTGCTAATTTAGTTTAAAATTCAAAGTATCTTCAAATTTGAGTGGTTTTGTTTTGTTTTGATGTTTTTCTTTTGCTGTTTTACATTAAATCTGTCTTGAGGGATTTCATTCCCTCAGTTGTCCTGCTGAAAGCACTTCTTCCAAACAAGTCTTCCTCAAAGGTGTCAATTGATTTCGTAAATGTGTTTTTCATAGATAACAGTGTTCATAGCTCCACTTTGATCTGCAAGTTAGTACTTTGTTTACCTGTGATCTTTGACTTTCAGTTTTTAAATAATTGATTGGGTTTGTTTCACTTCTAAAATATAAAGTTTTAAAATCCTTGCCTTATACAGCTCTCTCAGAATCCTGCTACCTAGTATCAGATATGTAGCCATTTGCTTGATGGATTAATCCTCAAGACACACCCACTCAAAACTTAACTTCACTATACAATCTTCCAGGTAAAGTTTTCTACCTCTTAATTCTTCTAAAGATCAGGGATCTTTAAGTTGCAGTTTGTGTACTCTGTCATACAATGTAAAGAGGCATACTGTTGTGAAGTTTTGTCATCTCAATCTCAGATTTACTGTTTAGCTCAGGCAACCATCGGTGCACTTTAAAGCACTTACATCTTTTCCCGTGTATCTTAGTAAATGTTATCAAATTAAGGTCAACCCTTGGCCTTTTACTTGGTAGTGGTAACGATGTAAAATCAAGGAATATTAAAGTGAACAATTTAGAAAGTTCCTTTAAAGAACAATTGAAGGATTCACAAAGTATGCTTCACTCATCAGGTGACATTCTTTCTTGATTTGAGACAAGGTCTCCCTATGTGTTTCTGGCTGGCCTGGAATTTACTATATAGACCAGGCTCTTCAAACTTGAAGTGGTCCTTCTGCCTCAGCCTCCTGAGTGTTGAGATTACAAAGGAGGGGCCGCCACACCTGACCGGATGACTTTCTTGAAAACCTTTATGCACATAGCCAGTCAGGCAATAGCAATTATTATAGTCATATAAATTGAAAATACTTAATTTTTGTGTTCCTTTTTTGTTTGTTTGTTTTGTTTTATTTCTTTAACTGAGCCTTAAATATAGCACCAGTGAAGTTAGAACACTGAACATTTGGCATTTGTGACATGTGTAAATGACTCACAAAAGTCTCTTTGGTCCAGATGATTTTTTTTATCTCTTTTATTTCCTCTATAAAATAATTTAATTTAAAACTGTACATTAAAAATATAATACTGGGTGACATCCATTAATCGAGTTGTGTGCATCATATTTATAAAGTCTGCCTTCCTATACCACTTGAGCATCCAAATTCAATGTTTCTAAAATTTTGGATCCAGAAGTTTGTTCATGTAACAATTATTTATTAACTTATAATGTGTAGGGCATGTTCTATTTTTTGAAGATAAATTCCTGTCACTTTAAATTTGAGTCTGCATTATCTACAGAGGATTAGTTTAGTAAATGTAAAGAAATAGAATGAGTGCTGATGTCTTAAAATTCAAAGCCTTCATTCCAAGTGTTTGTTTAGTATTTATTTAGGGAGTTTTTTTTATCCTATTTATCTTACACCTGGTTTGTCCAGTTGCCAGGTAGACACTGATAGTCAAATGGCTTTAAAAAAAGGCTTTTTAATTATTTGCTGACTTGAAAACTGGCTTTAGAGTAGTGTTCTAGTTTAGAACATTCAAGGTGAAGCATTATATGCAAATTATTTAATTATTTATGTTCCTTCTAAATACAAACTGGTAAGCCTCATAAAATTTAAAGGGTTTTGTTGTTATTATTGTTGTTGTTTTATATTTTTTGCCTGTGCTTATTAAGCTCTTGAAATTATTTATTAATGAGTAAACTCATGAGAATTTTGAAAAATCTGTAAATTTAGTTGCATCGTAACTAAAAGAAATTTTTTCCTAATGATACACTTTCTTTTGTTCAGTTTTTGCCTGTCCTACAAGAATTTCTTTTTTAATTGAAATGAGACCGTTTACATTAGTGTGTTAGAATATTAGATGTAGAATAAAAATTATACTTTTACCCCACTACCCCAGTCTTCCCTCAGTCTTCTTTGGATTAAAGATTCAGCCTGTTTTTATGAAGATACCCTCCCTAGTTATGGTATTAGTCCAAATTAATGTCCCTGGGAATTTTGTGATAGGACAGCCATATGAAGATATCCGGGATGTAACCACATCTTTTAAAAGCTAGTGATTCATGGTTGATTTCTTAATTGTTCTTTGTGAATGAGAAATGAACACAATCAAATGGTTACTGGTCAGCCTAACCCTTTTGTTAGGAACTAATGCCATTTGAATATTCTATGAAGTCCCAAGTCCCAGAAAATCAGAATCCAAAAGTAACATTACTTCCCTACCTATATTTCCCTCTAACTGCTTTTGCCTAACTTGCTTGTCTATCTAGCTTCCTCCCTTCAAACTGTCCTAGTTGAATTTTCTGTCCATTTGGAAAATGTACAGAAGGATGTGTATGAAATTAAGCAACAATGATCCATATACACACAAGCATGTTATATATTAAAAATCAGGTGGCCTTCTTAAATTTACATATACTAAGAATTACATGTTTTCCTGTGTTGAAACATTATTTTTGTAGCACTTTAAAAATTGGAAAATAAAAGTTTACATAGCCCTCTACAGATCTTGAGGACAGGAAAGATACAACCTTCAGCATCAGTGTTTTCTGTATCTTCTGATAAAGTCTAATTTCAGTCACTATTAGGAGCTTGGTCTGTGCCCTAACATAAGAAATGTTATTTTTGTAATGTGATTCTTATCACTTGTTTTACAGTATTCAGATTTTGTTTACAGCACAGAGTTTTTAAAAGAAAGAGTAGATTCATCAACCCTTTCATTCATTTGTAAGTAAGCTTATTTTAGGGAAATTGGTTTTTGAGTAAGATATGCAAGCAGTATTTGTGAACCTAAAGGAATACTTGATTTGAATAAACTAGCTTGTTTCTCATGGTGATAGACATCAAACCAGGGCTTTGTGCTTGCTAGGTAAGTGCTCACTGATCAACATCCCCAGCCCCAGGGTGTTTTCTTAATAACCAATGTAATATGTCAGCACATCCAACTCAATGAATGTAAGACTTCCTTGATTGTGGTAGGTCTTTTTTCTTCAAAAATTAGTATTTGTTTACAGTGCTTTGAATATTTCACTTGGAAAACAAAGTATTTATGTTGATACTGAATTATGGAGTGTTTACATCTTAATTTAGTAGGAAAAAGTACTACTAAAAAGGCATGAATGTAAGCATTTTGCCTGGCATGCTTTTTTACTTCTGATTTTAAGTACATTAACCTGTATGTAGGAATTTAAGTATAGTGAAGGTATGCTTTGGTTAAGTTACAGGTAAAGAGGTTGAGAATTTCTACTGAGGTGATATGTCTTGGCACCAGAACTGGTTCAGAATGTTTAGTTAAGTATAATTCCCCCTAAGTTACTTAAAGGACAAGGGTTTCCAGTTCATATTTTGTGCCATTCAGGACTCCAGGTGTCACAGAAAATATGTTTATAACAAATTAATTTTTCCTTTAAGAATGCCTAATAAGTACATATAGCTTGTCAAAAGGATAAGGACTGAGAAATAGTCTATAAAGGCTGTATTAACACAGTAGAGCAGAGCTCCTTAAATAAAAAACAGCCATGAATCCTGAAATGCAGAGCTCTAGAACATAATTGCAAAGGTATTAAATGGAGCCAAACAGATAAAAGAGTTGTTTTCTTAGCATAAGAAAATGTGTTCTTAGTGAAGATGGACAGTATTGCTTTCTGAATGTTCCCTTGGCTGTTTCCCAGCAAGTTTTCAAAGTTCATGCACTGCTGCTACCTGGAAGATGTCTAACTTCATTTTACACAATTCATGATTTTGCCTTTGTTACTAAGATGCATTAATTTTATTTATGACGTGATTTTTCAATATCTAAATGTATGAAGTGACTTGTTTTAAAGGAATAAATAAAGTGAAAACATTGTTGTGTGAGCATATTTTGGGGTCAGGGCAGAGGGCCAGCGAAGAATACTACACTCAAGTTACATATTACCAACCCATACCACAGCTTGAATTTGTGTACCTGATTCCCACACCCGGAGTAGTTAGTGTTTCTCTTTTCTGATGCCAAAAGGCATTTAAATTTTCCCTTCACTAACTAAATTTCTTTCTAAATCCCCTGAAGTTTAAATTTAATAACCTTTGCTGGCAAATTGTTCAAATGTAAAAGTTGGGTGTCCCTGTTTTTTACTAGAATAGGGTCTGGATGGACTTACTTGTGTTTGAAAGTTGGTGGCTTTTCTATAGTTTTTCATTGTCAGCAGAAACCCCAGGGCTGTTAGTGTTGGCCAGAGCTTAGATTTTCTAACTTGACTTAAGTCCACAAATACACACAGCACACAAGAAACTAACAAGAATTGGTTGCTTTAATATTTCTTAAAAACTCAAATGCTGTTAAATCTGCATTATGGGGATGATACTAGAAGTCAGTCTCTGTTATTCTTTTGTTTAAGCTGCAGCTGCTAATATAAAGAAAGGAACAACGGATAAACAACCCAAAAGGGGAGAGAGGGGGATGGGTAGTCAGCCAACCCAAGAGGAGCTGAGAGGAAGAGAGAGAGCAAGGGATGGGTGGCAGGACCTTTTAAAGGAAAGGTTGCATATACGCACTGGGGCTTTGCACCTCACAGGTTGCAATGCATGGCGGGTGAGTGAGTGCCCTGTTAGGGGGCGGGGTCAGGGTCATCCAGGTGTTTTGTTCTTACAATCCCAGCTGTTGTTTATTATAAAAGTTGGAGAATTGGGCGTGGCAGGTTAGGGAAGTAGGGGCGAAGATGTCTTAAGGCTGCTTCCTGCTGGCCTGGGGCGTTGGCTGTCTTTGGGGGGTTGGGGTGCTGCCACGTCCTGGGGTTGATTGTTGTTTCATTGTAGTCCGGGCCACTCTGGTGTCTTTTAGACCTGACAAGATGTTCGCAGAGTAGAGGACAAGGTTAAGTTTAGAAAAAATTTTTTCTTAGGTCCTGTCACTTGAGGGAAAGATTGTAAGAAGAGGGAGGGGTTCCCGAGGTGACCCAAGATGAGGGAAGGGAAATTGGGACTGGGGAAAGGTTGGATATTACCTGGAGTGAATCTGACCTGTTTGGATCTGATTCGGCTCCCTGGAACTTATAAGAGTCCTTAAAGTTTGGGAAAACATAAAGATTAGACATATTAAATCATATCTAGGTGGTATGAAATCTTTCTGGTTACCTTTAACCAGAAGGCATAAACACTTGGTGGTCCTTGTATCTTTAGATCCATGGCTTTTAGGCTGGCATTCCTGTAACAACAGCTAAGTAAGTTATTGTGAGATGATACTTTGGAAATTAATGAGCAGAGTGTAATTAGAAGCAGGAAAGTTTAAATCAGCCTTGTAGAAATTGAGCCTTATTCTTCTGAAATAGGAGGCAAAGTAGATGATTTCAGTGTCCTCTGAAACCTAAGGGAACAGGGTCCTGTTGTAGAAACTGTATGAAGGGTGAGTCTCAGGTGGAGAAGTAAAGGGCTTGAGGTGGGATAAGTGAATCCAGTGGGGAAGGCCCTCAAGCTTAGCTGCTGTTGGAGTGACAAGAAT